ACTTTAGTGCCAAAATACATAGTTCTGTTTACTGCTTTCTGCCTTTCCAGCTATACCAGGGCTTTGCTGATAGCTGTTGACACTAAATGAGCCAGGTGTGCCTTAGGAGGGTAACTAGATTGCTGCTCAAGCATTGGCCCCAGAGTGGCTGCACTATGGCTTCCATTTTTTCTTAAGTTATTTTATTGAAGTGTAGTTGATTTACAATGCTGTGTTAATTTCTGCTATACAACAAAGTGGTTCAGTTATACATATATATATATATATATTCCTTTTCATATTCTTTTCCATTATGGTTTATCGCAGGATACTGAATATAGTTCCCTGTGTTCTACAGTAGGACCTTGTTGTTTATCCATTCTATATATAGTAGTTTGCATCTGCTAATCCCAAGTGGCTTCCATTTTTAATCCACTCTGATCATGAACTCTTTATTATAATATATGGTACAGCTTACTTTATTTTATCTACTTACATTCTGACCCTGCCATTGTGAATTAGTCAGTTTCTCAACTCTCTTCTTCACTTATTTTTAAAAGCATTTTTTAAGGTTGGGTAGCTTCTTCAGATGGCTAATGTCAGTTACTCTGTGCTTTTTATTCCTTTAATTTACAAGGGTCAATATTATCTCCATAATATGTGATCATTTTACAGCAACACCAGTATGCCCTGTTGGACCACCATAATGGTGGTCCCAAAAGCTGTGTCCTGGGCAGGATATATAGTACTGTTGCATTTAGACACTTCTGCTTCAGGATGGTAATGGTGAATGGGATAAAAGAAGAGGAGCTGAGAGGCAACAAAAACTTAGCCTTGTGTATGAAAACAGACTAGTTCTTTTTCAAAGCAGTAATGAAAGCCACCTTCTTCTTCTTTCTTCTTGCTCTTGACCTCACGGTAGTAAAATGAACCCCTGAACTCTGTAGAGACACAAAGTTGAGTTCAATCATTCTGTAAAGGGCACAAATTACTAGGTAGATATATCAGGGAGGTTCGGGATTCCCTAAGGCAGTTGTGCTGAGTGAATTTAATCTGTTTTTCCCAGGCTTGAAGAACACAGACTCCTTTTTGATAACTTCATTCTGTGATGTTAGTTAAATCGGGGCCTGGAGACAGGAGATAGCCCACAAGAGCCCATTCTGGGACTCCAATTCAATCATCAGAAGAGAGACGTGAGTGGCTCCTAAGTTTAGGAAAGCCACACTTAAAATATCCTTCATGGGCTTCCCGGGTGGCGCAGCGGTTGAGAGTCCGCCTGCGGATGCGGGGGACGCGGGTTTGTGCCCCGGTCCGGGAAGATCCCACGTGCCGAGGAGCGGCTGGGCCCGTGAGCCATGGCCGCTGAGCCTGCGCGTCCGGAGCCTGTGCTCCGCAGCGGGAGAGGCCACAATAGTGAGAGGCCCGTGTACCACAAAAAAAAAATATATATATATATCCTTCATAAGGCTGATCTTGTGGCATTTCAAAGCCTTCCTCTTAAATATATCCCATAGGCTTTTTGATCATTGTTTCTACAGTGCTATTTATAACATGCAAGTGCTAAAACAAGTATAAGCACATGTTTGAATTATAAACCCTAGTGGATAGGAGGAAGCACTAATCCTAGTGCACTTTGACAGTGTTAGAAATGCCAAGAGCCCAGGTAAAGGGCTTCTGCTCTCTGCAACTATTGTCTTCTTCCAAGCCTTGGAAAAACATCTCTTAACTGTCTTTTGGGGAAAGTGTAATCTGGCTTTTTGTGAAAGGATGGTACAATAGATTCATCCAGAAGGTTGAAGAATTTTTTTTTTTAAATAAATTTATTTTTGGCTGCGTTGGGTCTTCGTTGCTGCACACAGGCTTTCTCTAGTTGCGGTGAGCCGGGGCTACTCTTCAGTTCGGTGCACAGGCTTCTCATTGTGGTGGCTTCTCTTGTTGTGGAGCATGGGCTCTAGGTGTGCAGACTTCATAAGCTGTGGCATGTGGGCTCAGTAGTTGTGGCGCCCAGCCTTATTTGCTCCGTGGCAGTGGGATCTTCCTGGACCAGGGCTTAAACCCATGTCCCCTGCATTGGTAGGCAGATTCTTAATCACTGCTCCACCAGGGAAGTCCATGAAGAATTCTTATAATCTAAAAATACAGGTACAAAATCTAAGTAAATTTTTTTAAAAGGAAATTTGTCTAGAGTACTATGAATTGTCTAAAAAATAAGTAATAAAATTATCAGAGGTGTTTATAGTAATTATTTTAAATGAGTACATTAAAATGTTTTTATTTCATTTGTAAATTATGGCCTTGAAAGATAATGTCTTCAGGGCATCATTTGTATGATACTAAGAGTAAATTAGGTTGAAAGTTATCACCCAAAAAGCAGAGTCTCTAGCCTGCTGTAAGGTGGTGACGGATGAGGCTGTCAGATAGGGTAGCAGATTACTGGGCAGATTATAGAATTTTGCTTTTTACAGTGATCTTTTACATTTTGACAAATTCTTCTCTGTTTTGAGATGATTTAAACATACAGTTATGAAGCAGATCAGAGCTTCTAAATCTAAGTTGAAAATTGTCACTGCTGCCAGGAGTACAAGTATTTTGCCGTGAACGTGTACATAAATAAATGGGAGAACTACGTACATGCTTGAAAGCATTTGCTTCCTGGCAATCTCTTCTGGAGAGGTAAAGCAATAAAGAGGAGAGAAAGTTGGGAAAGCTAAATTCTTGCCCAAATGTCCTCCTTCTCTTGCTCTGTAATCTTTGAGTCTGTTTCTTCTGTCTGAGTTTCTCATCACTGGAAGTGGAAGTTCCATACAGGCAGGGATCACCATCTGTTTTTTCCACCAGTATGTCCAATCATTTAGAAAGTGCCTGGCATATAGTAGGCCCTTGGTTTATATTTATCGAATAAGTAAATCCTTGAAATGAGATGTATCATAGCACCACTCTGTATTTGGCTTGAGAGAAAATGAGATAAATGAAAATAAATATGAGATAAATGAACTTGAACCCCTTGAAAGAATATTCTTATATAAATCCAAAGTGATGCTGTATTCACTTTTCCTTCATTGCTTATACAGCCTTCCAAACAGAAATCATCTTTGGTCTACAAATAACAAATTTTGGGAGGATGTGGAGAAAAGGGAACCCTTGTACACTTTTGGTGGGAATGTAAATTGGTGCAGCTACTATGGAAAACAGTACGGAAGTTTCTCAAAAAAAAAAAACTAAAAATAGAACTACCATATGAACTGGGTATATATCCAAAAAAACCAAAAACACTAATTCGTAAAGATACATGCACCCCAATGTTTATAGCAGCTTTATTTATAATAGCCATGGTATGGAAACATCCTAAGTGTCCATCAACAGATGAATGGATAAAGAAGCTGTGGTATATATGTATGATGGAATACTAGTCAGCCATAAAAAAGAACAAAATGTTGCCATTTGCAGCAACATGGATGGACTTGGAGGGCATTATGCTAAGTGAAATAAATCAGACAGAGAAAGATAAATACCATATGATATCACTTGTATGTGGGATCTAAAAAATACAGCAAATTAGTGAATATAATATAAAAGAAGCAGGCTCACAAATATAGAGAACAAACCAGTGGTTGCCAGTGGGGAAGCAGGGAGAGACAATAAAAGGATGGGAGAGTGGGAGGTATAAACTATTGAGTGTAAAATGGGTGCAAGGATGTATTGTACAACGCGGGGAATATAGCCAATATTTTGAAATAACTGTAAATGGGAAGAAACCTTTAAAAAGTGTATAAAAATAAAACATTTTTTAAAAAGAGATATACACCCCCCCCCAAAAAAAGTCATCTTTGGAGTCTGCAGCAGTTGACATCTACCAGAAGCAATGTGACACCAAATCTCAGCCTTGTTCAGCTCCCTTAGCATGACCTCAGCTCTACTGTGAAATGATGGTTAAAAGACTGGGCTCTTGAATACTGAATCCCAGTTTCACCACTACTTATGTGACCTTGGCCATGTTATTTAACCTTTGGTGGATTGGTTTCCTCAAATGGAGACATGGGTAATTTCAACACAAGGAGTTATATAAGGATAAGATGAGATAATTCATGTAAAGTTCTCTGCATAGTCCATAAATGTTAGCTCATATGTGTATTTTTTTATGTCCAAGGAGTCCATTATTTCTTTCTGTCTGTTTCATTCATTTCTTTCTTCATGAAAGAAATAGCTCCAATTCTGTAAGACTGGGTTACTTCACTACAAAAGAAAAAGACTGGGCTAGATGATGTCTAGCATGTCTTCCAACTCCAAAAGGTCAGGATTATAACGTGTAGCTCTCTTTTCCCTCAAATACAGTGTGTATCTCAACGTTCCATCGTGCTCTGTGCATCTTGATTTCCCTGTAACTAGTAATAAAAGTTCTGATATATCTCATGACGTTTTCAATTTTCTCAGTGTATACTTGGATTAAAATCCCACTGTCTGTAATGTTATTTATTGGAGTTTTCATCAAATGAAAGCTTGGTTAGATTTAGGTTATAAAAATACCTAAATGGTGCCTTTGAGCCTTTTTTGGTGTACATTTTTACTGCTTTTTGGAATTTTCTAAAATTTAGAAACAGACATGTTTTTCATGCCAGATGCCTTCCATATCAAAATAAGAGCCAAAGCGTTTGTAGTATATGTCTTTTCTGATTATAGTATGCTACGGCTCATGTGAAAACCATAAAAGTAAAACTTAAAAGGTTAGGGGAAATGAGAAATTAAATTGTGCCACTGATCCACAGACTACTGGCAACTTTCCTAAAAGTTTGCTTAGACTACCATTATAGAAGGACTTAAAAGTCTACTCTGCCACAGCTGGAAGAAAATAGAGGAAAGGAAAGAGAAATCGGTGCCAACTCTGAGAGACCACATTTTTAGTGTCTCCCAGCCAGAAAAGGTTGACCATAGATTGAAGATCATCGAGTGACACTTTCTAATTCTTCGCCTCTTCTGAAGACTGCTGCCCTGGCTGTTCACTGAACTGTCTCTTTCCCTTTCAGCTTCCTCCATCCTTAAAAGGGAGAAGCGGCTGAGGACGAAGAATGTACATTTCAGTTGTGTCACCGTGTACTACTTCACCAGGAGGCAGGGCTTCACGAGCGTGCCCAGCCAAGGCGGCAGCACCCTGGGCATGTCTAGCCGTCACAACAGCGTGCGCCAGTACACCCTGGGCGAATTTGCCAGAGAGCAGGAGAGGCTCCACCGCGAGATGCTGAGAGAACACCTCAGGGAGGAAAAACTGAATTCTTTAAAGCTAAAGGTAAAAAAACCTTAGACGCTCACTTTTTTTTTTTGCCAAACCCCCATCCTTACCTCACTTTGGTTGCATTAACCATTTTCATATTTAGATCCACAGATTAAACTGGGCATTTTCCACAACAGACTGTCTGCTGAAGCTTTTTAAAAGCAAAAACAGTATGGTCGCCTGAAAACAGGGTGGAAAACTTACCTGACATTGTTTACTTATTCATCCTATGAATATTTCTTTAGATCCTAGACCCTGTGCTTGGGCTGGGACTATGTAGTATGAAACATAGATGTGATTCCTTTTCTCCTGGGACTTACGTATCAATAGGAAAGATAAATATTAATCATGTAGACAAAATAAAACCACATCTTCGTGAAGTGCTGTGAAGGGGAGTTGCAAGGTGCTATGAAAGTAAGTAACAGGGAATTGATGTGGTCCAGAGGTCAAGGAAGGTTTCCTCAAGGAAGTGATGGTTGAACTGAAATCTGCACAGATAGACAGGAAGTGTTGGCGAGAGTGGTTCAGGCGGCAGGGAGAGCTGGAGCTGCCTCATGGCAGGAGGAATCACGGTGAGCACACAGAGCTAGCATGGCTGGAGCAGAGTTGAAGAAAGTAGAATAATGCGGGGGGTGGTGGTGGTGGTTGGGCTTTGTAAGTCTGGTTGAGGCATTTGTTTCCTCTTCATCCTGATGCCATCAGAAGTCATACAGGAGTCCTAAGCATGGGGTTGGGGGTGGCAGGGTAATGTGATTCAGTTCATGCTATGATGTGAGGATAGTTTCGGGGCAGGGGCAGCCATGCTGGGGGAGCTTATGGAGTCAGACCAGGTAAGAGGCTATTACAGTGGTCCAGGAGAGAGATGATGGTAGGTTAGATTAGACTGATGGTAGAGAGAGGAAGAGAGATGGACAGAGGGAGTAATTTAGGAAATAAAATCGACAGTCCTTGATGATGGGTTGGATTAGGAAGGGAAAGAGGGGGACTGTCAAGAATGACTCCTGAATTTCTGGCTTGCAAAACTAAATGGGTTGTGGGTGATATTACTTTTCTCAATAACGAGGATACGACAAGGAATCCAGGAAGAGAAGCAGGTTCAGGCCGGGGGGTGCGGGCGGGCAGTGCCGTGGTGGTTATATAATGAGATCATTTTTGGAGATACTGCTTTTGAGAGGCTTTTGAGTTATCAAAGTGATGTCTGGGAGAGGTCCAGGTGGAGATAACTATTGTTGTGCCACCTTAGAGATTAAGTGGAGAGAAACACAGCTCAGAAAACCTTTTCCTCAACCGGAGACACTCTTTATGTTTGTATTGAGCCATCAGCCTATCAACATGTAGAAAGTGCTCTCCCATCATTATCTAATGAAAAAGGAAATCTTTCTTAGGAAATCCAGAGTGCTAAACATAAGGGATCACTGGTTAAATAGCAGAAGCACCATAAGCACATCTGTGTTACCTGTACCTTTAGTTTCCAGTATGAAGTCAGTTGGCAGAGGTGTGATGTGTGTTTCAAAACACCTTGTTTTTATGTATTTTGCAACGTATGCATGTGCTTTGTTCCCAATTTACAAGAAGGCAGTTGCTTAAATGAAGCTAGACACAACCTAGCCTAAAGTGTGCCTTATATTTTCTTTGGTGGTATTTTTGACAGATTTCAATGAAAGTCTCTTCAGATTTTTTGGTAGCCAGACACTGTTACTGTTGTTCTCCATGATTGCTTTGCATGTAGCCTAATTTAATGATAATGCTCAGATTTGCTTCTGAAATCCACCCTCTGCCTTTCTAACCCGCTGCAAACCAACTCTGCCCCCTACCCAAAGGGTGAAGTCATTCTCCAGATTCAAATATTGGCAGAACAATAGTGATGGCTGCTCTTCATTAAGTGATTTTTATTTGCCAGGCATTTTATAAACATTATTTAACCCTAACAAAACCCCACTGGTAGGTAAATTATGAGACCATGTGTACAGCCAAAGAAGAAGAAGCACAAAGATGTTAAGTAACTGGCTCACTCAATAGAAAACTGGTTTTGTTATCCTGTTCCTTACTATTCTAAAATTAATTGATTATTCCCTATAGGCATTGGGAAAGACAATCTCTGTACCTATAGGGAGTTGTCCCTTTCTGGGGTTTGGTACTGTGTGCAGTGGTTTTTTAACAGCTGGGGGACTGTAATTCTATCTGAGAGAAGATTTATTGTGGTGACCTTTGAAGCACATTGTACATTCCATGACTATTAGGGGGAGCTACACACCTGCAGGGTCCTTCCTCCATACCAGGCAATGATATATTCTAATACTATAATTTGTATTCAGTTACTTCTACCCTTTTATTTTTAACAAGCTAAAGAAGAAGCAAAAAAGAGGCTTCTATTATTGATTTACTTTTGTCATTGTGCTTAGTTTTGGAAGTTGGGAAGACATTCATCCGAGTGGGTGTCATGTCTTGGTTTGTCATTGATAACCGAAAACATGCAGCTTTCCCTTTTGGTGAAGATATAAACAAAAGGCATTAGGACATCATCACTCCTTCCAAATGAATATCAAGCAAAAAGATAATGGGATTCTAAGGTGATCTGATCTAAGCCTCCCTATACTGAAAGTATTCAAAAACTCGGAAACACATGTCACATAAAACGAATGAAAGATCACGGCAATGTGGACTCACTGGCTAAAAAAAGCTGAGGGAAATTAATGAAGGAAAACATATATTTTAATTGTGATTCCTCTAGTGTATTAACTTTTATGAGTTTTTAAATATCATTGACTATGCTTGTCTAAGGTTTAACTACCCCAAATCTAACATTAGCTATCCAAAAACATTACCTATCCAAAAATTTCACTCTGATACTTGAAATTTCACTTTTAATGTGACGTTTGTTTTGAAATATACCTCTGGCATAAGCAACGAAATGTGACTAAATTGATTCCATTTTTTGGCTGGAGCAGCAAGAGAGGGTCAGTAGCTGAGAGAGGGGTCCAAAGAGGAAAGGGAGGATTATTAAAGACAAACTTTGCCACTTTGGTTTTGCCTGGAGGTGGCCCTCTGTGGGTGACAGCGAGCTGCCCATTGAGTAAGGAAAGAGAAGGCAGCATCTGACAAAAAACACTTTCCAAAGCTCTCAGCACCAAACTTTTTCCTAAGCCCTTGCTAGGAAACTCATTGGACTTGGAACTGGGTAGTTTCCTTCCTACTTACTTCAGAATCAACAGCCCCAGAAGAGTAAGAAGTTTCTCTTTCCATTCTATCTGTGTGTCTTTCCAGGGTGTCTCTCTAGGTTCTAAATAGTGAGCCCATTTATACAACACCACCTCCTCCCATGGGGCCCTCATAGTGAAAGGTTAGTAAAAAGAACACAGACACGCATCTTGATGTTTCTTGATGTTTCTTTGGAAACAAAATAAGATAGAAATTTAGCTCTTCATTGTAAAATGTCTTCTTATTTAGTGATTCATCTCTTAATCAAATTATGAGTTAAATATATTAAGAAATAATATATGCAATTAGATTTGTAGAACAAATCCAATTTTATTTGGGGGGTTCAAGTGTGTCTTTTTTGTTGTTGGCATTGGTGTTCCAAACATTGCCTAGAAACAATTAATAGAGAAAGCTTATTGAATAAAGTGCATGTTTCTAGAAGAAATAACTAGCTTTAGATTTCTAAATTACAGCGCACAGTACTTTTTCCCTGTCAAGCCCATTCAGACATGTTGTACTCTTCACAGTAATCAATGCAGTCATCTTAATTCTATACTTTTTTCCAAATTAAGTACTTAGATTTCATCATCTGCACCACATTGTTGAACAATTACATTAGACTTTATTCCCATTTCACATGGGTCTGTAAAATGCATTAGGGGGCTATTTATATGTTTCAAAAGAGCCTTGGCATTCGAATTGCCTCTGGGGTTATATCTTACTGGATTCTACTACCTTGGTGTAGGAAATGTACCTTAGTTTTCACAGCTTTCACTGGACTCCCTTTCTCAATGTTTTTTCAACATTGATTGTTTTTCCTCTCCTTTCTAAGATCAAGCCTTTCTCTACTCTTGTACCATTTCCAGAGGCTTTCCAAAGTTATACAGTTTTCTCATGGGTCCCTTGACTAATGCTTGGTTGTTTGCTGTCTTTCTTCATAAAAAAATTTACCAGATGGTGACTCTTCCTTTAAGGAGCAACCTTGAAAATATCTCTATCTAAATCTCCTTCGCCCCAAATCTTAGTTTTATGACTGTGTGTTATTCATTTAGAAATTTACCTGTACAATATTATAATTCTTCCTCTTCACCCCCAGCCCTGCCCCTTGTATCCTCTTAAGAGTCTTGTGATTTAACTAACCTACAGGTAAAGTTCTTAAATACCTAGAAGATAGGTGGGATTAGAGATTTGTGAGAGGTGGTTGACACCGAATATCTCTAACCTATAGTTTCAAAATTTGGGGATGTGGTTTTAACTATTTCCTTATACCACAGTTCTTATCAGACGGGTCAGAATCTGCTGATCTTGGTAGTCTTAAGCTCCACTTATTCCTACAGAACTTCTTTGTCAGCCTCTGTAGAGATTACTCAGGAGCATACGTAGTACCAGTGCTTCCAGAATGCAACCCTCAGTGGAGGCCTGCTCCAACACTGAATGCAAAACTTTGATTTCCATTTGCCATGTCACATGTACAGCCTATTTTGACAAGAACAGAGAAGACACACCTAACCAAAGTGATGCATCCTGAGAGACTGGGCTTCAGCCCTGAGCAGATGCAATATATTTAAGAATAGGTTCTTTCAAAATATTGCTGGCATTTTCATTTAAATGGAAAACTTAAGCATATGTAATCACATCTCTTCATTCTTCCTGTACAGTAAACATTGATCTTCTCATTGAGGAGAAATCTGTTGAACTGATTCTCCTGGTTAAAATATGGGGTTCATGCAGCGGTGTGCTGTAGCCAGCTTGTAAAAATTCTTCACTAAAGAGGATTGTCTCATCTCTTCCCCATGGTAGCTCAAAATCACCCACGA